CGTATGTATACAATTTTTCATGCATATTTTTCATATATATGTGTAGGCATAGTAAAATGGGATATTTCTCTGCAACTTTCCCTTTTCACTTAATATACCTCAGAACATTTTTCTATACCAGCAAAAATGCATCTACTTTAATCTTAATGCAACCGACAGGGACCCCCTCGGGTCATTCCTAATGTTTTCCTTTACAAACTGTGTTGCCGTGAATGCCTTGAATTTATTCCTCTGCACAGCTGGTGAGCATATCTAGGATGGCAGCCCCTCAGAGCAGACCTGCTGGAACCAAGGCGAAAGCGCTAGGCCAGCCCCAGTTGCCACTGCGGCACCATTTGCCTGGCAGGCCTGTAACCTTGCTAAACATGACTGCCTTTTACTCTTCTGAGCTTCTGTCCCCAGGACTGGAAATTACTGAAAGCAAGAACAGGACTAACAGCTCCCCACAGCCCTGGGCAGAAGACTTTGGAACAAATTGCAGCCTCGTGTGATACGTGTGATACGCCCCAACAGCCCAGGGGCCTCACAATAGCGCACAGACCCCACGCCCTTTTTTAATAGAATGATAACCCAATAAAAGCTCAAAGCCCCCACCCCTCAAGGCTGGTGTATTTTTCTACACCATGCCCCTCTCTTCCCTTTTATTCTCTACACTTTCTTCTTGTTGTGAATTCTCGCCCAGCCTGAGTCGCCTTAATACAAGGGTGTGTGCATCTGATAATAGGATAGATGCTACCCCACTGCCCTCCAGAGAGATCGCACAGACCAGCACACTCTCTCCAACGGCATCCACTGTATTTTGAAATGACCTGGTTACACACCCATCTCCCGGACAGCGGTCCTCTCAGGAAGGAGCTGGGCCCCTTGCCCACCCCGGCTCACACCTGCATGTCGTAGGAGCTCAGTAAGCTGGCGCGGAGCGGCCATGCATGAATGGATGGTTTCACCCCCACCACCATGCATCTCTTGTGGGGTGTGCCAGGTGCCACGCTAAAAGCATTTTACCTGCACGAATCTATTCCATCCTAATAATCTCTGGGAGGAGGTGTTACTGTGCCCATTTGCAGGTGAAGAAACTGAGGCTCAGGGAAGGGAAGTGACTCACCCAGGCAAGGAGACAATCCTAACAAATGACTCCGGCATCACAGAGCAGCCTTTAAACTCCGGGAAGATGATGTTACCTTTCAATTATTTTCCTCTCGTTCCAACTTTCTGGTATTATTAGGAATTTTTTTAAAGGTTTTATTTATTTATTTTTAGAGAGAGGGAAGGGAGGAAGAGAGGGAAACAAACATCGATTGGTTGCCTCTTGCACACCCCCAACTGGGGGCCTGGCCTGCAACCCAGGCATGAACCCTGGCTGGGATTCGAACCAGGGACGTTTTGGTGTGTAGGCAGATGCTAAATCCACTGAGCCACACCAGCCAGGGCTGGCTGTATTAGGAACTTTTAGGATTCAGTCAAGCACAGGGTCCTGTGAGAAACCTGTGAGAAAATGTCATGAAATTAAATACTAGTTTTAAATCTTTCAAATTTGTATTTGGACCCTGCCTGTTACTGTTGGAGTAGGGTTTTTTTTTTTTTTTTTTTTTTTATTGTTGTTTGTTTTCTTTCCCCTACCTCTTTTATTAGGAGGGTGTCTGGGGGTTGTTTATGTTGTGTGATGACTCAGGTGTAAATGAATGCCATGCCCCCCAGGCCCACCCCCGTGCAGGCTGCAGAAGCGGGGCTTGGTCTTGGCCACCAAGGATGAGTCGGGTCTGGCCATGCGGAGTGGACAGAGTCCACCTGATGAAAGGAAGGGCCAGTGCACAGGCTCAGAGGCGGGGGTGGTTCTGGGCAATGGCGGAGGTTCGGGTTCTCGGGGAGAGGAAATGTAGGTGAGAAGGACAGTGAATGAGGTGAAAGCCAAGAAACAGTAATAAGCTTTTCAGGTTTTATTGTATTAGGCAGAGGAGAGCCACTGCAAACATCTGACTGCTAGGAGCTGCAAGCTGAGAGGAGGGCAGCCGGGGGCGGAGGGAGGGAGCAGGGAGGCCTGGCAGGGAAATCACTTTAGAGATGACCATAAATAGCTCGCTATCTGCACCTTCCCGACAGCGCTCCCTTCCCCCTAGGCTCTGATTTCTAATAATGGCAACACTATTCTTCCTGCCCCAGGGGCATGTCTGAGTCGCTGATCTTCCTCTGCTACAGGTCCAGGGGCTGCTGCCCATTCTCTCTCTGCTCCATCTCCGGAGTCTTGCCCTTCGGGAGGGTGCTCCTAGGACGCTGGCAGGCCGGCCCCTGGTTCAAGCACCCTGGCCTTCCTTTCTTCCCCTAACATGCCTGCACTGCTGTTGCCAGATGTTACCCCTGCCTACAAACACCCCGCAAAAGGCAGGCCCCGGAGCATCTGCCTTGATGAAATGCAAGTCCCCCCTCGCCCAGCCGGCCTGCCCCAGGCCTTAAATATCCTTGAAGAGCCAGCTTGATGGGTGCTCCTCCCCTCAGCGCACCAGGGCGTCCTCTACCGGGGCGACTTTCTCTTTGCCAGATGCCTGACGTGTCACCTAAACTCCTCCTGGGACACGTGCCTGCTTTGTGCCGATCCCGTGGACCTGTATCTTGTTCCTGAAGGGGAGGGCCTGAGCGATAGGCATTTTTGTGCCTCCGCAGGGAACTTGCACATGACCTGGGCTCAGTGACTACCTGGGATTTGATTACAAGTGTGGAAGGCAGGGACGTTCCGGTCCTGCTGACTAAACTGGAGGATCTCAGCACCTATGCTTTAAACATCATCTGTCTCTGAAGTGGCTTGCAGGGCCACCCCAGGAATTCCAAAAAGTACATTACAGAAGGGCTCTGGCTTCCCTTTTCTTGCTCCGTAAAAGAGCCACGATCGATGAGTCAGGTATATGGGTATGAATGAGAGATCTACTGCTTCCCAGCTGTGTTACCTGAAGCAAGGGCCCTGACCTCTCTGAGCCAATGGAGCTGACACCAGCCGCCTCGTCAAACAGGCAGTGCATGAGGAAGGCAGGCTTGGAGCTGGAGCCCTGGGCGGCAGGCAGTGAGGGGCAGTTGAACCAAGACTTTGCCTCTGTTGCCCTGGGCTGTTGCTGTGCCTGTACGTTCCCCTCACCCCCCACCCCCACCTGATCCCTCTGAGGGCAAAGGCAAAGCCACACTCTGGTACACACTGAGGCTTCGGTACTGCCTCTGGCCAGGCTGCTGACATACTGGTCGATCATGTGGAGCAAGAGATTAGCCCCTAGGGATGGGCAGCAATTTCTTCATGAGCATTTCACAAGTTGGTAGTATGGCCTTGGCTCAGTGGGTTGGGCAGAGTCCCGCGAACAGAAAGGTTGTAGGTTCGATTCCTGCTGAGGGCCTCTGTTTGGGTTGCGGGTTTAGTTTCCAGGTGGGGCACATACCAGAGGCAACTGATCCATGTTTCTCGCATTGATGTTTCTCTCCCTCCTTTCCCCTCTCTCTAAAATCAGTAAGAAAAATGCCCTGACTTGTGTGGCTCAGTGGACTGAGCGCCGGACTGAGAAACAAAAGAGTCGCGGGTTCAATTCCCAGAGCACAGGCCTGGGATGCAGCCGGATCCCCAGTAGGGGGCGTGCGAGAGGAAACCACACACTGATGTTTCCCTCCCTCTCTTTCTGCCTCCCTTCCCCTCTCTCTAAAAATAAATAAATAAAGTCTTTATTTAAAAAAATGAAATCAATAAGGAAAAAAAAGTTGGTGGTACGCCCATACATAGCTGAATCCGAATGTTGAATGTCTGGGTCAGAAGGATCCTCAGGGGGTGCATTCTCCCAGTTTACACGTGCGGACCTTGTGGCCCAGGTGCCGAGAACACTAGGATGGTGGGAGAACCACATACCAGAAGCTTCCATGGTCTCTGCTTGTGTTTAGCAAGAGGATTAGGAACAGCGTGAAAGGGATAATGGGTCATTCTGGGACATCCTGGCCCAAGGACAGGCATTGGATTGAGGCTTCAGATTTTGGGGGGGCGGGCAAAAGCAGCCTCCCCTTGGACTCCGTCTGCGGGACCAGGGGCCAGAGCAGTAGCTGGGACAGGGAGAAGGAAGTTGTGAGGTCCGCCACCCAAGGTCGTGTGGCTGGGCCCGCTCCATCTGGCAGCGTGGGCTGTGAAGGTGCTGAAAGAGGCCGCGTGTATTTGGAGTGCGCTGTGGCTGGGAAAGTGGGGGACTGGCGTCAGATTTTTCTACATAAAACCCCAGCCCCGTTGGTGTCTCATTTCAAGAAAATGGGTGGAGAGAGGGGTGGGAGGGGGCGCTTAGTTTGCTTGTGACAGAACCAATCAGTATTGGCTTTTCTATGGAAACAGGCAAAAAATGGAAGTGTTTACCTGGGTAAACGCTGAGTTTATTCAGCCCAGGCTGCGCGCTGAGTACCCATCTGGAAGCAGCGGGGTTGTCCTTGAGCACAGCGTGGGCCCCGGCCTTTCGGGCCGGGGTGGTGGGAGGCCTGTTGCTGTGAGAATTCCCCTTCAGACGAGAGGAAAGGGCCTCTGGCTTAATGGCTTCGGGGTCTGGCAGCTTGGCCTTCTGTTGAGACGCAGAGGGGTTTCCAGTCAGTCTGCACAGCCCGTGAAGGGGCAGGAGGAGCTGAGCGCGAACCTGAGGAGACCGGAGGTCCCCACGGTCTTAGTCCAAGAACGCAGAACGCGCGCTTGGTTCACGCGCCTTAGGGTTTCAGCCCTGCAAATGCGAAGGACGCAGGTGTTTCCTCCGATTTGCCTTTTTGAGATTAAGCTGTGGCGGCAGTTGGCACCCGGGAGAGAGGGACTTAGCCTCCCTCGTCCTCCAGCGCCGACCCTGGCGCGCGCCTCCCGGTGGGTCTCACCCGCCTCGGGCGCAGGTCCAACGGGGCTTCCCGCCGCGCTGGTGGAGCGCCGGCTGCGCGCAGGGGCGGTGCCGGCCAGGCCTGGCCCCGCCTAGTCCCGGCGAGGCCCAATCAGGCGGGGCCCCGGCAGCCCCGCCCCGGCCGTGCCCGCGCGCCCCGCGCCCAGGTCTGGGCAGCCCGCCGCCAGGCAGCGGGAGCAGCGGCCGGCTCTGGGATCTCGCCTGCCTGTTTGCTTCCCTCGCCTGCTCGGGATGGCTGGCTACCTGCGGGTCGTGCGCTCGCTCGGCAGAGCCTCGGGCTCCGGGCCGGCCTGGGCGCCGGCTGCCCTGACAGGCCCCAACTTGCAGGACCAGCCGCGGCGCCACTGTGAGTGCCGGAGGGTCCGGGCGGGTGCGCGCCGGGCTCCGCGACGTGGCGGCCTCCGGGTGGGGAACGGAGAGCGCGACCGGGACGCCCGCGGGCCGGGGACCGCGGAGTTGGGAGACGGCGTCACTCCGCAGTCCCCTGCCCCAAGTTTCCAGGCCGCGCCGGGCACAGTGGTGGGGACTTGAAGGACGGTGGCAACTGGTGGCCCGGGCGATGCCAGCCCTGCGGCCGTGCGCGGGGGGAGCGCCGGGCTGCCTCGTACCCCCGGATGTAACTGTACGGGGCGCTGGGAGTGTCTGGGACCAGGAGGGGATCCAGCCCACCCTGGCGGGAGACGAGCAACCGACTGAGGGCCGGAGCACCTCGCGGGCCGTCTCAGCTCAGACAAAGGCAGAAGGGAGGAGGCATCCACTTCCCCTTCCTTTTCAGCCAGGCGCGCTGTAATCCCTCCTCGCTGCCAGGCCCTCGTCAGCTATTTTTGGAGCCTTTTGCACGACAGCTGGAGGAGCGTGCTTTTCATTTTACCCTTTTGTTTGGACTCCCCCTCTTCTCCTTGTCGCCACACTGGAGGCTCCATCCTAGGCCCGTCCTCGGCTCGATCTGCCTGTGCTCGCGGGCAGGCGGCCCCTGGGCTGCTCCTTGCCGGTGCCTAGCTCACCGATGCGCAGACTTTCCGAATGGTTGTTCCCAGCTCCTGTGGTACCCTTAGTTCTTGCCTTAGCAGAGAAGACATGAGTCGGGTCTTGAGAAGCAGGACGTAGCCTGAACCTCCGTAATAAGCGCAGGCTGCCCCTGCTGGTATGTGGGCATTGCTTGCACCCTGCTTCCCCGTGCCGGATGCAAACGGCGAGAACAATGTAGGTCCTTTGGCCCTGTTTGATGCCTGTTGTCAAGGAAACCCCTACTCTGACCTGGCCAGGAGTCCCTTGGGACGAGCCAGGAGAGTGAGGAAGGGGGATGGGCCCCAGGCGGCCTGGCCTTACTGCCAGGGTAGGTAATCTTTAACCCAGTGTGGGAGCAGCTGACTGGAGCTTGGGCCCCAGCCCCACCCCCTTCTGACAAGGAGAAAAGGGGCATTTCTGTTTTTGATCGTGTAGGATTTATCTCTAAAGGGTCAGCCTTGCAATCCCAAAGTTCCAAGTGCCCCTGCCCCCCAGCCCCAAACCAAATTTCTCATCAGGCACCACCTCGGCAAAATATGGTGCTTGTTAGCTATGTTCTCCAGTTTTCCCTTTGATTCTACATTGATACTTGGAAAAAAAAGAAAAGAAACACACCCTCCCCGCTCCCCACTCCACACACACACACACACACACACACACCCATCTTTAGGGGCCTGAATTTTGGAAGAGCAGGTAAAAAGAAACAGAAACAAAAACATTCAGTTGCAGGTCCTTGCAGAATTCCCCAAGTAGTTTGGTTATTAATGGGAAGAATGCCTCATGTTTGGGTTGGACAGGAGACCATACAACTGTGACCTCTCCTAGCTGGGTACCTGGCAACGCTGCCGGAGATCAAATAGTTGCCATTCTCCCCGATGACCGGGGAAGAGTATTTTGGAGCTAAAACACCCTGTACCTTTGCTACCTGGTAATTCCCACGCATGTCTCTTTGTAGTTCTGAAAATCATAGGCCTCCAGCAAGGGCTCGTGTAGTTCGGATAAGTGAATGGGGATGTGAGGGGTGCTCCCACTAACCACTCCATGGGAGAACTACCTCTCTAGCCTTCCTTTGCTCCACTCCTGGCGTGGGAACTACGTCTTGATTTTCTCAGCTGCCCTTCAGCTCTTGGAGACTTGCCTGCTCTCGTAGATTCCGGGGCACGCTATTTAATGATTGTTGAAGGTTTTGCAGTAGAGATCTTGTGTTCCTTGTGGAGCTTTGCTTCAAACACATCAGATAAGACTGCAGCTGCGCACCCCCCCACTCCCCCATCAGAGCTGTTTGGGTGGTTGTGTTTAGGCCCAGTACGCTTTGAGGAAAACCTGGAGCCTGGCCCCAGATCCTCTCCGTGGGGCTGAGGCCTTGTGTGCTGATTCCGTTCAGGGTACGAGGTGCTCTCTGATTCCTGGACTGGACACTTTTGTAAACCTAGGTTTAAAATGCCAGCAGGTGGCAAATGTTAACACACTATACATTGTGAGCTTGTCCAGAGCAGGGAGCCCATTGTCTGGCAGGCAAAGTTGCCACTGTGTCTGTTCTTGCTTGTGTGATGGCTCAAAGCCATGAGTCTCTGGGTGGCACTGCAGCCCAGCAGCAGGGGCAGGGGGGCGCACACACATTTCACTCAAACAGGCAGTGACCCGAATAGACCGTAACTTGACATTCATTCATGCTTTCAGCAAATACTGTGCCAAGGGACTGTGCTAGGTGCTAGGGACAGAGCTGGGAATAAGAGGCCAAGATTTCTGCCCTTAATGGAGCTTAAATTCTAATGCAGGGACAGACTGTACACAGTGTGTACATAAGATGGCAGGAGAACTAATAAGCAAGGAAGGTGTGCACGGAAGTTGGGGTCGGTAGCCGGAGAAGGCAGTCCTGGGCGAAGCCCTGAGGGAGTGGGAGAAGCAGGCCGTGTAGTTATTGAGGGAACAGTGAACTGCAAGGATCAAGGCCAAGGTGGAGGAGAACACCCTTGCCTGTGGGAGAAGCAGAGAGGAGGGCCAGCGTGCGTGAGGCTGGCTCAGAGCGCGCAGTCGCAATGGTGAGTGACAGATGGGCCAGCCTGTGGGGGCCAGGGGGCACTGGCAGGCCACTTTGGAGGACCTTGGCCTTTATGCAGAGTGAAACAAGAGGCTTTGCAGGGTCAGGACCTGATTTCTGTTTTAACACTCTGGCTCCGGGGAGGACTGGTAAGGGATGATGGCTGGGGCCCGGGGGGTGGCCCAGGGGGTGGCGAGAAGCTGTTGGATTCTGGGTTGGATACTTTGAAGAAAGAGTTAGCAGGATTTTTTTGTTTGTTTGTTTGTTTGTTTTTGGTGGTTTGGATGTGGGTGTGAGAAAAGGAGAGGAAAACACCAAACTGTCTTCTGGAAGTGGGGCTCCGCGTGTTCCTGGGCTGTGCGCAAGAATGTGGTAGAGGCAGTTTACCTTGGGTGCGGCCATCTTTCAGGGGACCTTGAGCCTTGAGTTCAGAGCAGCAGGCAGATCCCGAAACTGGGGACAGGCTTTGAAATCCTGACGTAGTGTCGGGTGCTACGAGCTCCAAATGGAGAGGACAGTCAGCCTAACGGGCCTCCTGTGACTGCTGTAATGCCATCCCACGCTCTGGCCCCGGGGACAGTGTCTGGGCAACGTCTCCTCTGATGATTTTGTGGTGTCCCCTGGAGGTTTCAGGGAGGCTCCGCGTTGTTCCTTGGATTTCAGGTTTCTTGTTACCACTTGTCTCCCCGAGGGGCCGATGATGGGAGTGTCTCTACCACGTTGGCTGAACAACAGACAAGGTCTCCAACGCCGATCGATGCCTTGGGGTGCTCAGGGGGGCACGTGGCAGGCCTGGCGCGGGGAGACAGGCCACCTTGGCCCAGCCCATCTGTGCCATGAGCCAGCACCGGCTCACCATGTGGAAGCAACTCATTCTTCAAAAGGGGCTGGATTTTTTTCCCCTATTCTTATTTGATTTTTTTTAAATGTAAGTTTTTTTTTCAATTACAGTTTACATTCAATATTATTTTCTATGAGTTTCAGGTGTACAGCGTAGCGGCTAGACAGTCATACCTTACAAAGTCTTCCCCCTGATGTTTCCGCCCCCACCTGGCATCGTCCGCAGGAATCACCTATTACTGACCGTACTTCCTGTGCGGCGCTTTACATCCCTGTGGCTGTTGCGCAGCTACCAGTCTGTACCTCTCAATCCCTTCACCAGGGAGGCTGGATGTAAAACCTCCCGGGTGTTTTGTTGGTTTGTTTTTCTGACTGGTTTAATTTTTTAAAATTTAACGTTAATGTTTTATTTTTTTATTGTACAAATGCCTAACAAATGTCTCCCTCCTACCCGCCTTTCGGTCTGCAGTTCAGAACTGTGAAGTATTTTTACAGTATTGTGTAACCACTATCCAGAGCTTTTTCAAAAAAAGCTTTTCCTGCTTCTTGCAAAACTGAAACTCTATACCCAATAAACAATACCCCCCCCTCCCCAATTCCCGCTCCCTCCAGCCCTGGGCAACCGCAATTCTACTTTATTCTACCCCCACAAGTGTGGCTTCTTCTGTTTCTATGACTGACTGGCCCCTCTAGGTACCTCATATAGGTAGAGTCAGGCAGTGTCTGTCGTTTTGTGAGTGGGTCGTTCCTCCTAGCGTCATGTCCTTAAGGTTCATCCATGCTGTGGCGTGCGACAAGATTTCCCTCCTTTCCAGGTTGAATAATAGTCCTTTATATGTACATTCTGCCTTGAAAATAGTCAAGTTAAAATGTATCGACCTTCTGAGGAAGACAAAGGAATTGTGAAAAGCTTAGGGGATATCGTTATTAAATCTTTACCTAGTTAATACTGCTTCTAATTTATCATAGGAGTTACGTCCCAAAGATGGTCACGGCAGTGGGGTTGAAAGAGGGTTTGGGAACCGTGGCAGTCTTGTTTCTGTAAGTATACCACATTGTATATACTGTGTCTGCAAGTGCACCACACTGAGGTCCTTCCAACATCACTTGAACATGGAGACACTTTGTTTAGTTTCACAGTAGGTACATCCATGGTCAAGAGGTGGGAGCCTAGTCTTTAAACACTTAGAATCACGAACATTGTTTCAGGAGGAAAGTTTTTCTTAACTTTCCTGGATTAGCTTCCAAAGTCCCGTTCTCCCCTGGAAGGTTCACGCCACATTGGGTTTATTCATTCTCCCGTTGGTGGGTAGGGGTCGCTCCCCACTCTTGGTTACAGCACATAATGCTGCTATGAACGTGGGGGTACATGACCCTGCTTTCCATTTCAGTATATCCAGAAGTGGGATTTGTGGGTCCTACAGTGATTCCAGTTTTAATTTGTGGATCATACATGGCAGTTCTAGATACAACAGTACGAACCTCCACACAGTTTTCTGTAGCAGCTGCGCCCATTCACACCCCCGTCTGCAGGGCACAAGTTCCAGTTTCTCCGCACCCCTACCCCCACGTGTGGCTTCTTCTGTTTCATTTTTTGATAGTAGCCGTTCTCGTGAATGTCAGGTGGTAGCTCCTTGTCGTTTTAAACGTCCCTAATGATCAGTGATGTTGAGCATCTTTTCCTGAGCTTGTTGGTCTTTTCGTTGCCACTTTGGAGAAATATCTATCCAAGTCCATCCATGTATTAATCGGGTTGTTGTTATTTGTTGTTGTTGTTGTTACAATCTCCTGCTTTTTAAACTGTGGCCACCATTTAATATTTAAGAAAAATGCCATTGGGGTCAAAACGAGTCTTTGCTGCTTTGGTTCCCATCGCTGAACCCAGCTCCTCTGAGCAGCTTGTGTCCAGGGAGGCTGCGCTGCCGACCTTTTTTTTTTTCTTCTTTTTTTTTAAAGATTTGTTTACTTATTTTTAGAGAGAGGGAACAGGAGGGGGAAAGACAGGCAGAGAAACACCTGTCAGCTGGAGACCTGGCCTGCTACCCAGGCCTGTGCCCTGACAGGGAGTTGAACCAACAACCCCTCGGTTTGCAGGAGGACGCCCCCCGCAGGCGCCCCACCAGCCAGGGCTGCCCTGCTGACCTTGATAAAGGCCCTGCAGGCTCTCTCTTCATTTCCTGTGGGTCTTCCTTTCATACGCACTGCTGGGGGCAGCCCCGCCGTGTGTTAGGTGTCTCAGGAAGAGGCGCTTAGCATCTGGTTGTAAATGAGTGGGCCCTATGGCTTCTGGGGGTTTGACTCCTAGGTGCTCAGGGGGAAGGTTGCCTGCTGTGACCTTGACCTTAAACTCCCTCCATAGGCCAGGGGCTGCCACCCTGCAGTCCAAAACGTGAATGGAGGTCCAGTGTGAAACCTTTACGACTGGCCCCTAAACAAATCTCTGCTTAGGGATCCTGGTTAGGGTTTAATATATTCTTTTTATTTTATTTTATTTATTTTCACAGAAAGGGGAAGGGATGGAGGAAGAGAGGGAGAGAAACACCAATGTGTGGTTGCCCTTCGTGTGTCCCGTACTGGGGACCTGGCCCGCAACCCAGGCCTGTGCCCTGCCTGGGAATCGAACTGACGACCCTTTGGTTCACAGGCCAGTGCTCAATACACGGAGCCACACCAGCCAGGGTGTTTAATATATTCTTTAAAAAATGTATCATCAAATAACCTCATAGGAGAGGCTCTAAAAGTTAAGCTAGCCCTGCTGCAGCCCCGTGGACTTCCGGCCGGTCCCAAAACCCTTCCATGGAAGCTGTGGGCCAGAAAAGTTGAGGGAGTTTTGTAGCTTGGGTCCCAAGTCCCTGTTTTCTAGGGAGTGAAGTATTTCCTGTCTGTTTTGCTTTCTGCTTCTTTTTAAAAATTTTTATTTATTAATTTTAGAAAGAGACAGAGAGAGAGAAATATTGATTTGTTGTTCCACTTATTGATGCACTCATTGGTTGCTTCTTATATGTGCCCTGACCAGGGATCGAACCCATAGCCTTGGTATATTGGGTTGATGCTCTAACCAACTGAGCTACCTGGCTGGCTAGGGCACTTTCTGCTTCTGTGTATCTGACCTGCAAGGGCATCCGAGGCTGCACTTGAGTGAGGGATCTGTGTTCTGTCTGCCAAAAGCCATGCTCCTTGGTCTCATTTGTCTTCCTGAATAATCTCCAAGATTCTTTTCACATTAAAAACAAACCAAACCAAACACCAACAACCTGTTTGCAAATCTTTGGGAAGTGGGTCATCTTGCTGCACATATTAACCTTTTTCTTAGCAGGTCAGGGTGTCCCCAAGAGTCACGGCTGCTGTGGTTTGTGTTCTGGGTGCCGAGGTGGAGCCTGGTGGGTTTTGGTTCCGCCCGTCTGAGCGGAGCCTCGGTGGCCATGCCGCTGTAGCTTCCAGGCCTGCTTTGCATAGGCTTCCGTCCCATGTTGTCAGCCAAGCAGATGTCACTTCTCCCGGTGTCGGTTTTCAAGTGAACATCCTCTTCTGTCTTCTCTGGTGGGAGCGGGGGACCCTGCACTGAGTCTGTGAGGATTGTGGGTAACGGAAGAGCACACAGCCCTACGGAAGGGCTGAGGGGTGCTCCCGTGGGGACAGGCACAGGTCTGAGAGTCCCCTTGCCCCTGGGTGTCAGCAGTGAATGAGGCTCCTCAAGTCAGATCTCAGCGTGCTGCCCCAGGCCGTGGGCAGAGGAATGTTCCGGTGCTTGGGTGCCCCTCTTCGGGGGTGAGCAAGCCTCCTCTGAGGCAGCCGCACTGATTAATCAGGTGGGCCGTTTCCTGAGTTTCCTTGGACTTCACTCCCCAGCGTGTTGGCTTTTCTCACGAGTCGGAATTTCCTTGAAGAGCCACCCCCAACTCCGGTTTCCCCTCCACCCTCCCCCAGGACCTGGGTCCGCCTGGCGACCAGCCCTGGGATGTGTCTCTGGCCAGACTGGCCCACCTGAGTCACTCGGACCAGGAGATCTGAGCTCCATTCCCAGGTGCTCTCAGCCCGTTTCCTATGTTGTGCAAGGTGCGAATCCTGTTTTCAAACCGTAACCTCGGGCAAGAAGCAGGGAACCTCAGCCTCCCGCATTTGAAGGGAGGTAGTAATACTCCTTGGGGAGTGGTTGGAGGACTGACCGGCATGATGCGAAGGGCGGGGGGCCCTGTCAGGCACAGCGGAGGCGCGAATGCTGTCCCTCGCACTTAAGTTGGCCAGGTTCTCAGGTGGCGAGCAACAGACCAAGTGTGCGACTGGCCGCTTTGAGAGGGGTTATTGCAGAGGTCGTTGGAAGGACACAAGGAAGCTCGGAGAGCCGCAGGGGCTGGACCAGAGGGCACCTGAGTTGCCCTGGGGAACCAGGTGGCAGCAGCTTCCGGGCAGCCTCGGCCGACTTGCTGCCGGCCGAGGCCGCCCCCGCGGGCCCCGGTTCTCTGTGTTTTCTGCTCCGCCTTCAGGTCCCAGGGGAGGGGACCTGACTGGTCCCAGCTGGCCGTACTCAGTGCGGGATCCAGGGCCCCGGCGGCCCAGAGCTGCCCGACGGGGAGGGCGCTAACCCCAGGCAGCTGGGTCCTGGCTGACCGCTGCTCCTTCCTGGATGGGCGGGCCTGGTGGGGAGGAGAGGGGCCCCCTTCCCGCCTCCCCAGGGGCGTCACGTGCTCTCCGTGCCCCTTCTAGATGCCGACAAGAGGATCAAGGTGGCCAAGCCGGTGGTGGAGATGGATGGCGACGAGATGACTCGTATCATCTGGCAGTTCATCAAGGAGAAGGTAGCTCCCTCCTGAAGTGGGCGGCTTTCTGCGCGGCTGGCCAGGCATGGCTTCTGCCCCAGCCCATCTCCCTGACTCACCTGTCCCCTGGTGGGCAGCCCTGGTCCTGTTTCTCTCCTTCCGCCCACCCTTCTGCTGCGCTCTGACCTCTCTTGGTTCTCGCGACGTCCGGCTGTGGCCCGTCCTCAGTGGTCTGTGTCTCGTGCTGGTGCCAAAGCCTGTGTGTGTTAAAACCGTGTGCAGATTCACGGCTGGGCCTGTGTCCCCCCCACCTCGACCCCTCTGCTCCGCTGTGCTTCCTAGAGGGAGTGAAAGCAGCACAGGGCTGCCGGTCAGCGCGGCTGTGCACGGAGTGAAACGTCTCTCCGTGTTTCGGGGATGCCATCGTGAGTGGCGGCTGTGGTGTGTGCTCTAGGACAGTGACATGTCTGAGGCGCCACAGCACATGACCCCAGGGTGGCCTCTAGGCTTCTGCAAGTCCCCGGGGTCTCCCTGGGAGAGTGGAGACCCCACAATGTGTGGGTGTCCCCAGGGAGAAGGTAGAGAATCGCCACTTCTGAATGGGGAAGACAAGGGAGCGCGCTGCCCAGGGCGGACAGACGCACCTGAGGTTGGGGCTTGGCTGAGCGGGTGGGCCCAGTGGGGGTCACACGGTCCAAGCTTGGGGATGAGCTCCCTTTGAGGGGCTGCGTCTGGGCTGCCGGTCGCTCTCCAGGGGTAGCCGGGCCCCACTGAGCAACGGCTGACTCGAGCCCTGAGCTGCGCTGCCCCTCCCCGCCACTGGCCTTCCCGCCCTAACTCCGTGTCCCTGCCATAGCTGGCGCATGCCCCTGAGTCACAGTCCCCCGGGCTGACGCCTCGCCTTGGCCGTCTGCCTCTAGCTCATCCTGCCCCACGTGGACGTCCAACTCAAGTATTTCGACCTGGGGCTCCCGAACCGTGACAAGACCGACGACCAGGTCACCATCGACTCCGCGTTGGCCACCCAGAAGTACAGTGTGGCTGTCAAGTGTGCCACCATCACCCCTGATGAGGCCCGTGTGGAAGGTGTGGGCGCCGGGACAGCGGGGGCAGGGACGGGACTGCTGCCTCCCTGTGGGTGGGCCTGGGCGGAGGGCAGGCAGGGGCTGGGCTGGTCAGGGCGTGATGGAGCTGAGGCCAGAATCCACCCCCCGGGCCCCAGGCCAGCGGTGCTTCTGCTGCGCTCTGGGTGGCTCTGGCTAGTGGCAGTGCCACTGGGAACAGGGAACAGGAAGAGGAAGCTGATGCTGACTCTGAGAACGGCCTCTTGGGGCAGCCAGCCCCTCTGGCCCCTGGAATGTGTTCCAGGCAGGTTGACAGAGAGACCTGGGGCCACTCTGTCCAGAAGAGGCCTGTATGTCAGGCCTGTATCCTTCAGAGCTGCAGGGGTTGGGGTAGGGGGTCCGGGGAATATCACTGGTATCCTGCGGTGGTCTTGACATTGCAGGTCTGCTTCTGCGGCCTGGTGGGGTCTCAGAGAGGTACCCCCACTGGACTTGGACTGGCTGCTGGTCCCCAGACGTGCGCGCTGCTCTTGAGGCTTCCATGACGTGGCTCTGTGTCATGGATAGAGGGACCTGTTATGGAAAGTTTGTGGAGCTGTCTCCCTACTTCCAGCAGCCTGAGGGACCCGGGCGGAAGCATTCAGGGCAGACCCCCAGCCTCCTCCTTGTCTTTTGGGTTGTACTGACCTTAGGGTATTAGAATCAGCTTCTTGAAGGTTTCTTCTTTTTTTTTTCTTTTATCCTAAATGCTGGGATTTATATATCGTCATTTTCTGGACAAGGAAGTTGAGGGTTACAGCCTTAGTCACTTGAGCTGGACTTGGCCATTAGTGGCCATCCTGGGCTGGACCCAGAGCGTCTCGAGTGAGGCAGTGTGTTGTCAGGGCTCACCGGACTGAGCCGGACACCCCCGCGTGATGCGGGAGCAGGAATAGGCACCGCACGGGCCAGGCCCTGGCCTAGGCACTCGATGTATGGGCTCCTTTAATGCTCACAACGGTGCAGAGGGCTAGGCATTTGACCACCTGTGGCTCAGGCTAAACCACCTGCACAAGACTCACAGGCAGGTGGTAGAGCTGGACCCCGAAGCCAGGGAGTCTGACCCTGGAACCCACACATTCACGCCCTCCACTCCGCTGTGGCCCCAAGATGGGTGTTGCGACCTTCATCCGGCTGCGTTCTTGCTTGCGGTTCAAAGTCTGGTTGGACAGCAGGGGCTGCCACGGGGCCACTTCACCTCTGCCCTTCTAGAGTTCAAGCTGAAGAAGATGTGGAAGAGTCCCAATGGAACCATCCGGAACATCCTCGGTGGGACTGTCTTCCGGGAGCCCATTATCTGCAAAAACATCCCCCGCCTTGTCCCTGGCTGGACCAAGCCCATCACCATTGGGAGGCACGCCCATGGCGACCAGGTGGGCCGCGGCGGGAGCGGGGCCCGGAAGGAGCGGGGCCCCCGCCTGGAGCCCCTGGCCTGAGCCCCCCTCTTGTCTCTGCAGTACAAGGCCACGGACTTTGTGGCCGACAGGGCAGGCACCTTCAAGATGGTGTTCACTCCGAAGGATGGCAGCAGCCCCAAGGAGTGGGAGGTGTACAACTTCCCCGCCGGCGGCGTGGGCATGGGCATGTACAACACCGACGAGGTGAGGCGGTCACGGAGCCTGGGAGCCCCCCCGTGCCCGGCCTCCCCGCCCCAGGCTTACCCCTGCCAACGTGGCTGGTTCCCACAGAAGTGCCAGCCTGACTCACATGACCGCCTCTGAGTCAATCAGAGAGGCCCCGAGAGAGAGGAAAGCTCTGATTGGACAAGCCTGACACACAGTCAACTCTAGAGACAGGTCCCATTCCCATCCCGGCCGTAGGGTCCAAGAATTGCCGAGAGGGAGCGAGCTGTCCAAAGCAAAGCTGGGGGCGGTGGGAGGGGGCTGTTCCTTCCCAGAAGTTGGCGGGGTGGTTGGGGGAGCTGGGCCAGCAGAAGCAACAGACAGGGTGTCACTTCAGGTGGCTGGGTCAGCCCCGATCGCCAGACAGGGCCGTGTGCAGAGGAGGGTGCCGTTCCTGGCTGGAGCCTGGCCCCAGGGGACCATGCCAGGGACCTCTCTCTCCCCCTGCAGTCCATCTCGGGTTTTGCGCACAGCTGCTTCCAGTATGCCATCCAGAAGAAGTGGCCGCTGTACATGAGCACCAAGAACACCATTCTGAAAGCCTATGATGGGCGCTTCAAGGACATCTTCCAGGACATCTTTGACAAGTAACCGCTCCTCCCTTCACTGCTTTCCCGGACGCCACCCTTGCCCCGGCCCTCATCCTACCTGGGGAGGTCACTGTCCCCATGCATTTGGCTCAGGGAGGGGTCCCCAACCTCCGCCTCCTGCCCTCCTGCCGCAACAGGCCCCCTTTGCTCCCAGGCACTATAAGACGGACTTCGACAAGAATAAGATCTGGTACGAACACCGGCTCATCGACGACATGGTGGCGCAGGTCCTCAAGTCCTCAGGCGGCTTTGTGTGGGCCTGCAAGAACTACGATGGAGACGTGCAGTCGGACATCCTGGCTCAGGGTACGCCGGGGGCCCCCTGCTCCTTGTGGGGGTGACCTTTCTGGCTGGGGTCATTTTCCCACCCTTGTGGCAGACAGCTTCTCTAGGGGAGCGGCAGGACTCGGGCTTGCCGGCTCACTGCGAGGTCCCCCGTGGACAGCACGGAGCAGGAGCTCCCCAGCAGCCCACTCGTTAGGCTTGGACTCCTGCAGGGCGGCCGCCGCCCCGAGGGAAAGGAGGAGGGCACAGGAATTCAAGTTGGCGCTGAGGTTCCTGTCCAGGGAGGCCCAGGTGACTAGGTTTGGCTCCAGTGAAACCAAACCTGGGATTGAGCACCCCAGGGAGCTCTTTAAATTACAGAGCATTCGTGTTGCAAAGTAACCCTCTTGTAGGGAGGAGGAGGAGGCCAGGGAAGATGGAAAACCCACAGGCCCTCGAGCGTCCTGAAAGGTTGAGCAGATTCCAGCAGAAAGCCTGGGCGAGGCCTTAGAGAGGAACCGTGAGAAAGAGCCCGTGTTGGGAGGACCGGCGCAGGTGGGAGGAGGCAGCATGGAGCCCGGGGCGTGGAAGAGAAACAAGGGCGTGCGGGACGGGTGAGGTCCAGCTCCTGAGGAGAAGAGAGAAGCCCAGGCCGGGTGGCAGCGAAAAGGCAGAGACCCCCGAAGCTTTATTTTGAAAAGTTCACTGGTGATCCTGTCACCTGGACCATTCCCACTTTAGCTGGAAGGGTGACAAACCCTAGCAGATGGGAGAGGACATGGGAATTACCTCTGAATATGTAGGGAATGGAGGAGCGAGAAGGTCCAGGCACCAGCCGAACTTCTAAGCCAAAGAGTTTTCCTATCGGAGTCGCCCACTTTTACTTTCTTGGGACTTTCCGATTCTCACTTTGGTGTCGGGGTGCTTTGCAAGTCCAGGAGCCCTGGGCAACAGGAAAGGTTCCCGTGGGAAACACTGGAAAGGTGTCACAAAGCTTTCAAGCAGCCGGAAAGAGCAGCCGATGAAGTGGTCGCTGTGGCATTGGCGGCCACAGGCTTTATTTCTGCTTGAATGTGTCCCCCGGCCACAAGCCAGGCTGGGTGGCAGAATGCTCTGAGGCCTTGGGCCCTGGGGACCAGGGGCTCTGGGCCACCTGGAGGTGGGGCCACAGATGTGCGCTGACAGGCCGGTAACAGCCACCTCTGCATGTTGCCTGCCCCATGCGGGGTCCTGGAGAACCCCACCAGCAAAGACAAACCAGAAGCGTGTTCTTCCCACTTACAGCTGGGGGCGGGTGGAGACATGAGTTGAGTGACTGCAGGCAGGCCGCCCAGGTGGTCCGAAGGAGAGAGAGGCACCCACACTTACAGGAGGGTCTTCCCGCCGTCAGGCTTTGGCTCCCTGGGCCTGATGACGTCTGTGCTCGTCTGCCCGGACGGAAAGACCATCGAGGCTGAGGCTGCTCACGGGACCGTCACCCGCCACTATCGGGAGCATCAGAAGGTAAGTGTGCGGAGCCTCCGCACTCTCCCGCAGGGGCCCAGACCCCGCCGGCTCTGAGGGGCGGGCAGCTGCGTCCAGGTTGCCCCGCTGTTGCCTTGATGGCTCTTAATTCCCCTGCGACCCCTCCCCGCAGGGCCGGCCTACCAGCACCAACCCCATCGCCAGCATCTTTGCCTGGACACGAGGCCTGGAGCACCGGGGGAAGCTGGACGGCAACCAGGACCTCATCCGGTGAGCGCAGGGGCGGGGCCTGAGCGGCCCAGGGCCGGCGGGAGGCGGGGCTGGGCGGGGCCTGACCTGCTCTCGCTCGCTCTGCGTCTTGCAGGTTTTCCCAGACCCTGGAGAAGGTGTGCGTTCAGACAGTGGAGAGCGGAGCCATGACCAAGGACCTGGCGGGCTGCATCCATGGTCTCAGCAAGTGCGTGGCTTGGGTAGAGGGCGGGGCGGGGCTTCCGGGCAGGCGGGACCCCCTCCAGAGTCAGCTTTGCTGCCAGGAACCTGGGGCAGGACAGGTCCCCGCCCCTTCCCGTGTCCCTCCCCCAGCTCCTCCCGGGACAGCTGGTACCCAGGGCCGGTCCACCTGAAAGAGGACAGGGAGACCACGGACTTTGCTGTGGCCCTTTGGCGGGGGGCTGCAGGTAGCCTTTGACCGGCAGCCGGGCCGTGCCCCCCGACAGGGGCCGAGAGCGGGGGCTCTGCCCCTGATGCGCACGGTGTTCTCCCCGCAGCGTGAAGCTGAACGAGCACTTCCTGAACACCTCGGACTTCCTGGACACCATCAAGAGCAACCTGGACAAAGCCCTGGGCCAGAAGTAGCGGGGCGGGCAGCGCGGCCCAGCCCCGTAGTGGACACCAGTCCTGGGACACGCGCCGGAGGGTGAGCCTCACAGCCCTCTCCGGAGGCCTTTCTAGGGGACACTTTTTATAAACGAAATGTTTTTAAAAGTACCTGCGTTTCCCCTCACAGTGACGTGAGGCAGGAACAGAGTGTTTTACCTCAGCCAGTCAGTATGCTTTGCATACTGTAATTTATATTGCCCTTGGAACACATGGTGCCATATTTAGCTACTAAACTCTCTTCACAAAACCGTCTGCTGTGTTTGTCCTCAGGGGAAGGAGGCAGCTGGGGCTGGAGGCGGGGCCATCAGAGGCCTGGGGTCTCCTCCAGGGACAGGCTGGAGCACCTCGGGCCCCAACAGGTCTCTGTCCCAGGCTCCATCCCGTCGGGGGCCAACATTGCGGGGGGCACTGGGTAGCTTTCTACAGGAGCCCCCTGAGTAGCCGCTGGGACATGGGGGTTCCAGGCCTGTGGGGTTCCCTGGAATGTCCTAGCACCGTTCCTGTATCATTTTGGGGTTACTGAGTCGTTATATTTTCATTTCTTTCTGTGTTGGTTTTAACCACCTAAACACCTCCAGATGTCTTTGCCCTTTTCTTGGTACAAAAAATAGGCCCTACCCACCAGCTGCCTGCGGCCGGGGGCTGGGAGTACACACATGGCCCCCCCCCCACAGCTCAGGATGGTGGGTCCCAGACTCCGGTTCATCTTTTCCGTTCTTTTAGCAACACTTAAAAAAGACAGGTTATAAAGTTGCTGGAAAGTTAAATAGATCCAGTTTACAGGGCTATCCTATTATAATTTTGCTGTTAAAACGTCCTGGGGAAGAGTCGTATCCTATTTCCTTGCTAACATAAACACCTGGCATCCCGAAGTCCATTTCCGACATTTGAGGGGAGGGATGCTCTCCCAGCTCCCGAGACCCTGCGGCCGGGAACCTCGGTAGGTCTGAGGTGGGCTCTGGCGGCCCACCGCACTGGGCCCCGGCCATCGCCCCGAGCTTCGGAGCTGTGGGAAGAAACGCTGGCATGCCGGTGCTGGCGCCGTGCCGGCTCCTGGGGGCCCGGCTCCTGGGGGCCCGGCTCCTGGGGGCGGGGGGACGCTCAAAATTTCCAGCCTCTTCTTGCCCATTCGTAGCAAAGGGCTGGCAGCGCCCCAGAATGCACAGCCTCCAAAGCCCAGTGTGGCAGGGGGAGCTGGCCTCTGTCCTTGTGCCCTGTTGGTGTGTCAGGAGGGGGAAGCAGCTTTCCTCTGTGCACGGTGGGAATTCTGGCGCCTTGGCCTGCCCCCCTCTCCAGGGCGGGGAGCGGCTCCCTGCAGGCACCTGGCCCTGCAGGTGACCACTCCTGTGCCCAGGGTGGTCCCAGGCCCTGGGAGAGTGACGCCTTTCTGGGTGGGGTGGGGAGGCTTTGTTGGGAGTTCCTTTGGAGGGAGGAGGGTGGGGAAGATGGAAAGAAGCACCTGCAGTCGCCTCGCTAAAGAATATTCATTTATTTATAATTATTGCTAAGTAAACTTTTTCTTTTAAACAGGAACATAAAAACACAGTAGGGCTTTGCACAAGTCGGAATTTCTAAACGGTTGGTGGGTATACGTGTCAAAATAAGTTAGAGTGGACTTCGTTCAGGAGTTTCCAAGTCACCCGAGAGGCCGCACACCTCTTTTGCGAAGGTTGGGGGCGAGGGGTGAGGACAGGAGCCTTGCCAAGACCGCCCCCGCCCCCCTGCCCCCAGCTCAAATTGTGAGTTGTGCTCTCCCCTTCTCTTAGCTTTGCCCAGGTCCAAGGCACAGGGCAGGGGCGTTCAAGTATCGAACCTCGCAGAGGGCCGGAGCTGACGGCGGGGCTGGGGGAGGAGAGCCCCGCCCTGCGGCCCGCACCTTCTCCCTTGGGTTTCCAAGACCAAGGCCACTGCACTGGCAGGAGAGGAGGAGGGGGGCGGAGGGGGAGGAGAGGGAGGAGGGGGAGAGGGAGGAGGGGGAGAGGGAGGAGGGGGAGAGGGAGGATGTGGTAGTGGTGGAGGAGGTACAGGGTTCTTTTTGGTACCAGGGGAGAAAGACGTTGTGGGAAGAGGTAGTTTGCAGGGGATGATGCTTCTGCTCCGCAGGAGAAAATGTCTTCTACAGTGACCGAGTCACTGCCACCTGAGGGTCATCATGGCGGGCATCTGGGGGGCTGGGGGCCTCAGCCCGCTCACGTGTTGCTTAGCGTGAGCGGTAGCAGAGGAAGAAGACGCACCTGGCCGCCTGATCCCAAGGCCGCCTTGCCCTCCCATCAGGCCTGGTCACAGCCACCCTGAGGCCTGGCTTGGTCCATCACTGAGGCTACAACCTTGGGGGCAGCTGCACTTCCAAGTGGCTCCCCCACCCTCTGCTGTTTCCCCCGCGCACCTGGCTTCTGGGCTGAAGTTGGTGGCTTCGCCTCTTTCCATGCCTTTGGGGACAGCCCTGCCTGCCCCTCCCCACAGAGGCCTCAGGAGGCCGGTGGGCGGGATTCTGGGTGCCCTCGCGTTCCTGAATATGCCGTCCCCTTCCCTGGGCCTCTAGCCTTCAGCTCCAGGGGCAGGAGCCAGTGTGGGGACAGAGGCCACAAGAGCGAGGGAGCGGAGCCGCCGGCTGAGCAGGGTCCTCGGCTCTGGCCTCTGGTGGGTGACGTGGGCCCCAGTCCTGCCTGGCCAGGCCGCTTGAGGTTGGGGGGTGCACAAAGCACACACAGCACACAAGGAAGCTTCCGCTGGGGAAAAGAAAATGATCTCCATCGTAAAATAGGCGACACAGAGTAGGAAAGAAAAAAAATAAATTATCTTCCGAATACCCCCATTTGTTTAAAAAAAAACCAAACTTTTTTCTCTCTCCATGGTCTTCATTTTCCTTTTTAAATGTTGCTCTTCCCGGGAGCCTGCTGACTCTACCTTAAATAAGAAAGCCGCACCGATCCCTCCCACCCCCCTGGGTGGTCCTTGGCCTCCTCTGAGGACAGTTCCCTTGGGTCCCCGTGACCTCTGCACTGTGCCCTGCGCCCTCACGCACGGGGCCTCCATCGGTCTCCGTTAGTGTGCGCCTGACGCAAGGCGTGTCCCGGCTCCATTCACGGGGCGGTGGCTGGGGAGGGACCCTGGTGTGACGCCCCCAGCTCCGGAGAGAACTGGATGACGTTTGTGGAAATCCATCTTAGGGCTGTAAGGTGAGGGCCTTGCGGGGACGGGGTGGGGCTGCACCAGCTCTCCCGCCAGCCAGCTTGGGCCGCAAGCACCCAGGCTCCAGGAGGGCTAGGGAGACGCCGGGAGGTAGACGGCAAGGGCCCTGCCTGGCTGTCCGCGGGCAGGGTGGGGAAGACCGCTCGGGGCCTGGCTTCTCCCAACCCTGGGGGCTCACGGTGAGGGTGGGGGTGGGCAGTGCCGACCAGCACGAGAGCTCAGACCCCCAGAGGCAGCAGCTGGTCCAGAGAGGCAAAGCCTGGCTCACGTGACTTCTTCCAGTGTCAGGGCCCCTGTGGGGCCAGCAGCATGGCTGCCCCAGCTCTGCTGGGTCTGGGGACGCCCGAGCACCTGCACCCTTGTGGCCTGGCCCCAAACGGCCCCCGCCTGCATGTCCCCTGTCCTCCCACAGCCGCAGGCGCGGAGGTGCAGACTCGGGGCCCCACGATGCCTCCCTGCCCTGGGACGTCTGGCGCCTGGTTCCAGCGCACGGCCAGGGGTGCAGTCCATCCTTTTGGTCTCAAAGTCCCTAGTGGTGCAAACGACTCGGTGGGAGGGGAGGGCTCGGGGCCGTGGGGCAGTAGTTCGCGCCGCTGCAGCAGCAGGCACAGCCCGCAGCCTGCGGGCCTCGCCCCCACGCCCCGGGCCCTCCTCACCCGGTCCGGGCGGCCCGGCATGGGCTATAGCACGTTGTAGTAGGCCATCTCCTTCATGGCCTGCTCGGTCAGGACGCTGGCCTCGGCCCCGCTGTCCACGCCGGCGTAGGCATAGGCGCTCTCCTCGAAGTCCTCCATCTCCTGCTGGCCGTCCAGCTCAGAAGGGTCGGTGCCTGTCAGCTCCATCATGGGGTCTGCAAGAGAGGGGCACAGTTAGACCCAGGTGCCACCTTTCCTGCGGGGAGGCGGTCACCCCCACACAGGAAGCAGGTGACTGGGGTTGTCAGCGGCCTCTCTGCCTTCCTGCTCGGGGAGGCCCTAGACTCCTGTGGCCACTCAGACCCGAGCCGTAGAGCTGTGTGCACGCGCATGTGTATGTGTGGAGGGTGCAGGCCTGGCCTTGGTCTCTTTGGGTCCTGCCTCTGTGGTTCCTCCTAGTCAGTAAACTCACTTATTCTCTGCAACGTGGCCCCCTCTGCCACATGAAAGCCTGCTGCACCGTACCGTCTCCGCATCAGCACTCATTGAGCACCTACTGTATGCTGGGCACTGCACAGCTGTCAGCTCAGGAATTTGCTCCCAGCGACCCCAGTGAGAACAAAAGGGAGTTCAGAGATTCTTCAGCTTGCCAGAGGGCCCCCAGCAAATGCAGCTGTCTTTGTCCAGGTGCTGCTCTGCCTCACCTGGCTGGGGGGCGGCAGGGGGTGGGGGGGGCAGTCTCCTCTGACCACCTGCAGCATTTGTGTTGGAAGCCAGTTCCACCCATTGGTCTCCAATAGAGGTTAACCCAGGATGAGGCAAAAACTCTAAGGCCTCCTCTAATTTTGTCAGGTTAACATCTTACTATAATGCTCTTGCTGTCGGAACAAGAGCCAGATGGAAAGCTCCATGTTGGAGGCCTGGCCTGCCTTCCCCTGGGTCACAGAAGGAGGGCAGCCTCGGCATGATCTGGGGACCCCGGGAAGGTGGTCACTAGGGACTGGGGCTAAGGCTCAGTGCCCGTTCTGCCCCGTTTACCCAGGACACGTAATGTGTTTTGGGGAGACGTGGGTAGACCAGGGGTAGTAGCCCTTGTAAGTCGAAAGCAGGGATTTCGGCCCTGGCCTTATTAGCATTTGGGGCCATATTATTTGTTGTGGGACTATCCTGTGCATTGCGGGATGCTTAGCAGCATCCCCCCCTGTTGTGACAACCAAAAATGTTTCTGGACATGTCCCTGAGGGGCAAACTCACCCCCTCTGTTGAGACCCACTGGTCTAAGGAGAAAGCCCACCCCTTGCCAAATGAGTGGGACCCACTTCTAGCCAATGAATTGTGAGGAAAAGCCAGCTTGTGAATTCTTAGACTGTTCTTGTTAGTTTCATAGAGCAAAGGGGAGCAAGCTGTTCCTCTCCCATTGAATGTGAACAAGGGAGCACATTGCCTCTGTAGGTTACTGGCAGCCATTTTGTGACCATGAGGACAAGCACACTCTTTGCTTTGGCTACTGGGAAGCTGAGAGCTCCCCTCTGCATGCCTATCAGACATGTGGCGTTGTGACCTCACCTGGCTCTCCCTTATCTTTCCAGTTGCCATTTTCCCATTTGATACTTTCTTTCCCATCCATTTATTTCACATCATCTCTCAGTAATGAGATAAAGTGTCTTTCACCTCCGGTGTGTTGTGATTTTTGCACAGGTTACCTAACCTCTCTGCCCTCAAGTTCCCCCATCTATAAAACGGCGCCTACCTCACTGTGAGGGTCACATGAGTTAATAAAGGCCTGGCACACAATTAGCGCTCAATAAAATGTTGGTATTTTTATTATGTAGTTTACGTGAGCCCGCTGAAACCCTTTGAAGAATACATAAACATCCCGTCACCTCCACAGTGGCCCTCCAGCGTGCCCCCTCTCCAGATCTGAGCCCACCCCAGTGAGGGCTCAGGCCTGGCCAGCCTCCCACCTCCCCTCACCGGACAGGAGGCTCCTGCATGTGCCATGAGGGCACCGCCCCGGCTCCGTCCACTGCGCGTGGCCCACCCACCTTGGCTGTCCAGGCCAATGTCCATGACGCCGTGCTTGACCTTCATGTGCCGGCTCAGGTTGCCCTTGAGGTTAAACTTGCTGGAGCAGTAGGGGCACTTGAAGGGTTTGCTGCCCGCGTGCAGGTGCATGTGGCCCAGCAGGTTGTACATGCGGTTGAAGGACTTCCCGCACACCTGGAACGTACCACCAGCCTCGTCAGCCCTCCGTGAGCCCAGGCCCCCCCCCCCCCCGGCTCGCCCCACTTGCTACAGATACAGCACTCATTTTCTTCTTTCCTGTGTGACCCGAGAGGCTGAGATCGAAGCCTCCTTACTGGTCACTGTTTCTGTGGGTCTGCCCCACGCTCCCTGAGCTGGAGCGGTCAGAAACCCAGGGCTCGGATCTCTGACTGCACTGAGTCCCGGGCCCGGGCTCCTTCCCTGCGGCCGCACCATGACCCCCGCTGCCCACTCCAACTCCCTAAAGCCCAGGAAGTTCCCCTCGACCAGGCCAACTGTATGCATTACATACAGACTTGCCCGCACTGGCTGGATCATCCAGGGACAGCCCCACCTTGGGGCCTGATGGCCGGGTACCTTGCACTTGAATGGCTTCACCGGTGAGTGTACAATCATGTGGGTCTTGAGGGTCTGCTTCTGTACAAAGGTCTTGAAGCAGATGTGACACTGGTAGGGCCGAACGCTGGTATGGATCAGCATGTGCCGCTTCATGTTTGCCTGCAGCGTGAACTCCCGGCCACACACCTCGCACTTGAACTCCTTCACGCCCTGTGGGAGTGGGGGCAAGGGGCAAGGGTCAGGGCCAGTACATCTGTGCAGCTTCTGGGAAGTGACTTCTGGGGGTGTTCCAGACAAGTACCACTAGTTTAAAACCATGGGGAGAGCCCTGGCTGGTGTGGCTCAGTGGATTGAGTGCCGACCTGTGAACCAAAGGGTTGCTTGGTTCGATTCCCAGCCAGGGCACGTTCCTGGGTTGTGTGCCAAGCCCCCAGTAGGGGGCGTGCAAGAGGCAACCACACACTGATGTTTCCGTCCCTTTCTCTCTGCTTTCCCTGCTCTAAAAATAAATAAGTGAAATCTTTTTAAAAAAAAAACAAAACCTTAACCCCCCCCCCCCACCAGGGAGAATGCCAGTTCAGGGCCACCTACTCCAGGAAACCTTCCAGTATTAGGTAGAGACTGGCCGGGCCTTACTGTTCCTATCTATATACCTGCTGTCTCCAGCTCACCAGGCAAATGTTTTCGTTCATGCATTCATTCACTCAGCACCCACTGACCAGGCACATGCTACAAGCCAGCATGAGGGGCTTGCGGCCAAGAAGACCCAGCTTTAGTCTGGTGGTCACGAATTATTTCCTCACATCCGGGACATGTGTATGTGTTCCTCCTCCTTGTGGTCTTTTCCATTCACAGACCCCTTTGAGGGATGGACTGAAGGGACAGACACCTCAGAAACAATACTACTTGGGTCTGTGTAGAATTTAGACCCCTCCCAACTCAGAGCCCACCGCTGACCCCAGAGAGAGAGTTTTCCATCTGTCCCTGGGGATAAGGACCACGTGGGATTCTCGCTGAACGAACAGCCACTCGGGCCACTCCCTGGAGACTCCCATTTTCTGGGATCTGGGGTCTCAGCAGGGTCCCTAGGTAACTCATTATTGATGGGGCTCGGGACACTCAGCGCCAGGAGACAGACTCCAGGGAAAATCCTCTGGTTTGGACTGTCAGCATGCTTTGCCGTGGTCTGGAGGTGGCCCCAGAGCAGGACAGGGTGTCGTGGGCACAGGCGGGGTGGTCGGTCCCCTTCATTGTCTGGGGGCAAATATGAGGACAAAACTGGGGAACTGAACTCTTTGCTAGAACCCCAGTCAGCAGAATCCCAGCGGGACACACACATTTCTGTGGTCACAGCTGCTATCCCAGCTGCTGTTTGGTACAGTGTCGTATCATAATTGAATGGTTCCTGTGTCCATTTCTCTTAGCGGGCGGGGGTGTGTCTCGGGCCCTACAGGCTGGCTGGGGCCGTGAGGCCGTGTGTGACCACCAGGGGGCCCTGCCCGTTGGGAATGCACCCGGCAAGTGCTGAGCACATTGTACAAATTTAGGCTGACGAGAGGACTGTTTCCAATTGGATTAGCCTTTGATTTTTGGCTTTCAGCTTTTCTTCACTGCATTATTTATCTTTTAACACTTTGCAGACAGGTGGGGAGTTTCAGCAGAGGAGAAGGACGGCAGATATATAGCCCGTGAACTTATCACTCTTCACTCTCGCTCCCTGCAGACACTCACTATCAGCCGTCTGGTTTGTACTTGAGGCACATTCCGGGTGAGGGCTGAGCCCAGATTCTGCTGCAGAATCCTCAACACGGTGCTCCTGGCAGCTACACCGACTGAGCGCAGGAGCCCGTGGCCCGAGCCTACAAATCATGTCTGCTCTAGGAGAAAACGTCCGAGCGCCGGGTGGACCGGGTCCTTGGCCTGGCACGCTGTAGCTCGCCGGCCATTGCGGTGTCCATGGGGAGAAATAAGGACACTGGTTCGACCTGGGGCACCTCAAAGGCCACCGCTGCAAAGAGAGGAAGGCGCCTGCACATCGCTTCAAGGTGTGCGGGTGGGTGGGTCCGGGGTGGAAACCGGAGCCAGAGTGGGACGGCGGGGCCTGAGAGGCCCTGTCCCACCTGCCTCGCCATCCGGGCCTCTCGGAGGAGGAGACGCCGCCGGCTGGAAGGCAGGGGGGCGAATGGCCTGCAGGGGGGGGGAGGGGCGGAAAACAGCCACGGTTGTGTCTATGGACACAGAGGGTGAGAACAGTTTGGCCCTGTCTTCCCTCTCCACAGACCCCTTCGCCACTTTAGCCCTATTCGAGACCCAATTGTACTCTTCCACAACAAACAGTTTTTCCTTAATGTACTCCCTTTTACACGAAATAGATTTAGCTTTTTCCTAAAGGGAACGTGCAGGTTTTGACATACTTTTGCCAAGAGGAACAAAGGCGCCCGTCTTTATGTCTGAGCGTCTGGTTTGTCCTTCCATCTATAAAGTCGGGAGGGAGGGTGGCCTCTGCGATCCCCCAGCTGTGTTCCCTGGGTCCTGCCCCAGGTTCCTCAAAACATTTAAAAAAAAAATTTTTTTTTAAGCCCTGGCTGGTGTGGCTCCGTGGATTGATCCTCAGCCTGGGAACCAGATCACCTGTTTGACTCCCAGTCAGAGCACATGCCTGGGTTGTGGGCCAGGTCCCCAGCAGAGGGTGTATGAGGGGCAACTGACTGATGTTTCTCTAACACATTAATGTTTAAAATAAATAAATAAATAAATAAATCAGATTTGACTATTTAAAAGATAACTAATCTTAATTATATAGTTGTTGTAAATGTCACTATAAAAATAAGATTTGTTCACCTGCAAACCATCTCTATTATGCCCTAAGTGACCTCACCCAGGACTTAGGGAAGCGCTGGGTGAAGAACAGGAGGGGCAGAGCCCCGGCCCAGGCGGAGCCCCTGGGGGAGGCGAAGGGGCGCACAGGGACGCGCTGGGCAGCAGCCGTACCTTGTGGGTGAGCGAGTGCTGCTTGAGGTGGTGGATCTGGCTGAACTCCATGCCGCACTCGGTGCACACAAAGGGCCGCACGTTCTGGTGCTTGAGCATGTGGTTCTGCAGCTGGCTGCGGTAGTGGAAGGACTTGTCGCACTCGAGGCACTGGTAGAGGGTGGGGCCCTGGTGGGAGGCCAGGTGGCGCTTGAGCTGGGTCAGGGTGGAGAAGTCCAGTCCGCACTCGACGCAGACGTGGCAGCGGCCGCTCTCGTGCTTCACCTCGTGGGCCTTGAGCTCACTGGGGTAAGCAAAGCCACGGCCGCAGAAGTGGCAGCTGTAGGGCTTGACCTCCGAGTGCAGCAGCATGTGGCGCTTGAGGTGGCTGGTCTGCGTGAAGGCCTTGTGGCACACCTGGCACTTGTGGGGCCGGGTGCCCTGGTGTGTCAGCAGGTGCGTCTGCAGGTGGCTGGGCTGCTTGAAGAGCTTGCTGCAGTGCGGGCACGAGTGTGGCTTGATGCCGTTGTGGCCCAGAATGTGTGTCACCAGGTTGTACTTGGACGTGTAGGACTTCTCGCACATGCGGCACTGCCAGCGTTTCTGGCGGTCGCCCGCCTCCACCAGGTAGGAGTCGTCGATCTGCACGTTGATATCCAGCCGGTCCAGCTGGGCCTTCTTGTGGCGCTCCACCGTGGAGCCTGCTGCGTCCGCCTCGAACTCGCCCGCCTCCTGCCACACGAAGCCCTGCTCGGGCTTCACGGGCTCAGGGGATTCCATGGTGGGGGCCTCGGGGTCGCTCAGGGGCGCCAGTGGGGGCGGCTCGAAACCACACTCCGCTGGCAAGGCCTCGGGTCCAGGCAGCGCCATGCCGGGCTCCGGGAAGCCATCCCGGGCTGGGTCGGGGAAGTGGGGGTCGTAGGGGGCCACGTCGAGCTCCGGCCGCGGGGCCCGGGGCAGGGGCCGCAGCGTCCGGGGCTTGCGGCTGAAGGCGCTGAGGTCGATCATTTTGACGGCGCTGCTCTGCACCAGCGACTCGCAGCCACCACCCGCCACCTCGGCTGGCGCCTCTGCCGGGCCTGCGTCCTTGTCATCGCCGGGCACGGACACCTCATAGACCTCCTGCTCCTCCTCCTCCTCCACCTTCTCAAACTTGACCTTGGGCACCAGCCGCACGGGCGGCCGCGTCTTCCGCCGGGTGTGCTTCTCGAAGGCCGCCTCCACCTCCAGCACCTCCTCCTCCGCCGGCTCCTCCAGGGCCCGCCCGTTGCAGGCCAGTGGGTAGACGTCGGGGCCCGGGGGCCCAGGTGCCCCGACGGGAGCCCTGGACAGCTCGGGCCCCAGGTCCGGGTAGAAGGCTTCAGCGCTTATGGTGGCCCCGAAGAGCTCATTTTCCGAGACCAGGCCCAGCACAGCGGCCTGAGCCAAGGACAGCACCACAACGGCGTCTGTCTGTGTCCCTGAGTCCATGAAGCCCTCCATTCCTGGGCGGCTGGCTAGGAGGGCATCGCTGCGGGGGGTGGGGCGGGGGGAGAAGGGTGCATTAGTGCTGCGGGCTCACTGCTGCACAGACAGACAGACAGACACTCAAGGGATCGGCTCATTTGGTGTGTGTGGGCCCCTGATGCCTGTACTTCTGCCTCGGGCGCCCAACACACATAATTCCAGGGAGCGCGACCCCCCTCCCCCGCGTCTCTACCCATCGGCGCCACCTCCCTGCGGGATCCTGGGCAACCTGCGCCACCCCCCCTCCGCCCACCTGCCGGCCTCAGTCTTCCCATCTGTAAAGCAAGGAGGTGCAGCGGTTCTCAAAGCATGTTTTGCATGCCCTTCTGATTCAAAAGTCACAAAAAGTAAGGATTCCTCTATTTTTAAAAGCTGATTTTAGAAAGCCCATCTACTCCAATGTATACACAGCACACCTCATTCCCACGCACTCAGTGGCCCCACCGGTTTTGTTGCCAAGGTGACTAATTTTGCACAGGCCTTGAGACCACAGCGAGGTGTTAAACAACTGTCACCGTGTACAACGGCCTGTCCATATGAATGAGGGGCTTTGCTTTTGCAAAGAATACCTATTGGGCAAAAACAAGGCAACACACAAACACAGATGAGGGTCAAGGCTGACCTCAGACTGTGGCTCCCACCAGTCAGCCCGACCCACGACGGGTTCATGGCTCCCAACTAGCTAAATATTATGCACGTGAGTCTCTAAGTATATAACGATGGAAAACATAGTTGTGTCTTTTTTTCCCCCCGATTTGCAGACTGGAATTCCTTGTCGGGTCTGGTCTGCAAGCAGGGCTCAGCAAAGGCCACCCTGTGCGTGACACTGCCCAAACCGAAGGCACCGGCCCCCAGCTTCTCGGCCACCCCCTCTGACCTAACAGGTCCTTTAAAAAGCTGACGTGCCCACCCGTCCAGGCCCGAACCCTGAATGCATGGGCATCCTCCCTTCCCATGGGCGCTCCGTGGGGCCCCGCCTTGCCTGCAGGGCCCCCACCCTTGGCGCCCTTTCCCAACCCTGCTGAGCTCCCGGCTCCTCCCCTCAGCAACCTCCCAGGCTGCTCTCGGATTCCACCTGTTCCTGGGGCTTCGCCGCCCTCCCTGCTGGCCCGGTCCGCGCCCTCTCCCGGCCTCCGGGGGCGGTGGCTCGCAGGGAGCGGTGCCCGGATGTGGGAGTGCCTCCAGGCCTGCGCTGGAGACTCACACTCGAAGCCCCCACTCCCAGCTCAGGGCCTGGCACACGGGGGCCGCGCCCTAGGAAGGAGGACATTCCTGGGGTGGCTCTGGCCTGCCTTGCCCGCTCCCCCCGCAGGGCCAGTGTTGGCGCATGGCCCGGCAGCGGCCCTTCCTCAGGAAACAGGCTCTGGTCTGGTGTCTCCCCTCCCACCCCCCACAGGCCAGCGGAGCCTCCCCTTCCTGAAGCCGGCTAAAAATAAAATACCCCAGACAGGAATTTAGCCTCCTTGACATGGAATCTAAAGACTTAACTATTAAGCTCAATGCGGGGCTCTCGTGGAAGGGGTCGGATGGAACGAACCTCTGACTCGGGGCTCCGGTCCATCTGGAGCAGGCGAGAGGGGCCCACCCCCAACCCTGCTACACAGTCAGCAGCTCAGCCTCACATGCCCCCCGCTCTCACGTACACGTGGTGAAGCACTGTCATTTCAAAGTCACTTCTGTGCCTCAGCCTCCCTGTCTGAAAACGGAGACGAACGCCGTTCCCCTTCAAGGGCTGTGACCCAGGCTGTAACTTAGGTGACGGAGCTCAGGTCCTGGGGAAGCCCTCGCAGGTAGGAAGCAGCATGGTTATCGTCTGCCCGGACCTTGGGAAGGAGCCTTTTCGGACAAAAGCCACAGAGCGGAGAGACCTCTCCATGCTGGGGCCCCCGGTTCGGCAAGGCTTTGGGTGACCGCGGACGACCTCTAGAAACTGAGAACTCATCCGTTCACTTGTGCAACAAATACTATTTGCTAACCCCTTCTCTGGGCTGGGCCCTGGGCTTGAAGATGCAGGCAGCGAGGTGGGGGCCTGTCCTCACAGAGTCCACAGAAGAGACCCCTGTGCCCACCCCCGCCACTCTGTGTGGGGGGTGGGCCGCTGTCTCTGGTCACAGCGGCCGGTCTAACACCATGCCCAGCAGCGCCAGGGCAGCCCTCATGCCTGCGGCAGGTCTTAGCAGAGGACAAGCTCAGCCTTTTCCCCAGACTTGCCCCCTGGCACGGCCAGTGGCAGGGGGACGGGGCGGGGGGACTGACCCTCAACAGCAGATTCTGTGCTGGGGACTTGGCTCTGAGTTCTGAGTTCAAATCTGCTCCTGGCCCTTTTGTGGCCTGAGCACATTCCATCGTAACTCGAGCCTCAGCTTCCTCATCTCCGTGAACTGAGGTCCCTCTTCCATCTCTATGGACCGAAGTCTCTATTCCGTCCCTATGAAACTCCTGATGTGGGGCAAGTGAGGTCACTGTGAATGTTAGTCCCTGTCCCTGGCCTTTCCCGCTGGGCCCCAGGACCTGGCATCACCTCCAGGGAATGGAGGCAAAGACAAACGTCTCTCCCCCGGCAGATGAGCCGACGACAAAGTCAGTCAGCACCTGCCCGTGGGGGCCAGAGCCCGTGTCTGGGGTGGCCCCCCCTCCAGAGAAGGTAATCCTGTGATTTACTGTCCCTGTTAGGAGGGACCTCTTGAGAGTGAAAGGGTCGCACAAATGATGACAGCAGGACCCCCAGCACAAGCCTGCCCCACCCCCCTGCCAACCAGGTGTCCCCTTCCTACGGTAACAGGCAGGTGGTGGCGACTTGAGGGCTGAGGAGGAGAGAGGGCATTTCGGTGTTTAGGAGCCTGTCCCTGGGTGTCACAGGGGACGTGCCCAGGGCCTTCCTCTTGAGGGACTGGTGCCCAAGTGAAGGAAGGTGACACAGAGCTGCCAGCCTCCGGCCACAGACATGGGTGGCAGAGCCCGCTTTCTGCCATTGGGTGCGCACGCGAGGTGAGCCATCAGTCATGCAACAGCCCCACAGGGTGGGGGGTGTGCCCCACGTCAGGGCCTAGGGATCAGGGGCCTATTACCGTGCTCCAGGGCCCTGGCAGAGCGGGGTCCGCACCAGGCCCCCCGGGTCTGCAGCCCCGCCCCGTCGTCTCTGCAGCCCGGGAGGACACGACCCAGTGGGACGCCCAACCTCGGCTCCCGGGGCTGCCCCCTCCCCGGGCAGGCCGTGCATGCAGGTGTGTGCGCGTGTGCGTGTGCGTAGCGAGGGCTCTGCTTGCTAAGACACAGGCCATGAGAAGGCAGGCGGAGGGCCTCTAATTTGCGGGCCTTCTGCACGCGTGTTCTCTCCGTCACACGTGGAAGTGACTGGTGGGAAGCTGGGGGCTCTGCAGCCTGACGTCACGCGTCCTCTCCTCCCGGGCTGCCCTTTCGGTCCCCCGCTCAGCTCTCGTCTGGCTCCGTCTCACAGGCTACAATGCCCGTTTTAGGACCTGGAGAGCCCGCCAAGTTCTCACCCCCTGCGAGCCAGGGCCGGCTGTTGGCCGCCTGGGGCACTTCATCCTCAGGGCGCGGCCTCTCCCCACCACGGGTGCTGTGGGCTCAGAACAAGAGCTGTGCCCAGTGTCCGGGGAAGGGGAGCTCAGGCTGGCCCTTGGCTGCAAGGTGAGGGGTGTCCGTCAGAGGCAGGGCACCCAATCGTCCCCAGGACACAAGGAAAGGAAATGGCAAAGGCAGGGAAACAGAGGAAATGGAATAGGCGCCTGATTATCGTTTAAAGACTTGTGCTGGGAATGGGGGAAGGGAGGCCACAGCAGAGGGAGAGGGAGGAAGGGAGGGAGGGAGAAAAAGAGAGAAAGAGGCTGTGGAGGCCAAGAAACAAAGCAGAGGGGGAGGGGAAGGAGAGTGGAGAGGGAGGAAGGGCTGTGTGGGGAGACCCACGGCCCAGGGCTCTGCGTGTTTTCCAGGGCTCGGCATCTCCGTCCCCACCCCCCAGGCCTGAGGGCCAGCGGCCCCGGGGGAGCGGCCCGAGGCTCGGTCAGGGCTGCGGCCCAGCTGAAAGCCTCCCCCACCCCGTCCAGGCCCAGAGCTCTCGCTGCTGCTTCCTCTCCTGCTAGAAACACTGACGCACACTTGTCAAATGCACTAATGGGCGGCTGTGTGACCCTGGACACTCACCGCCATCAGGGTCTCGGTTGGTGACGGCACCTCCTCTCACTGAAACCCCTGAAAGCCGGGGACCTGGGGGACGCAGGTGTCACAGAGCTCGGGGGGACGGCACTCCGGGCCTCGCTGGCCTTGGGGCCGGCGGGACAGGGACCAGTTTGAAGGCAGCACCCACGTGACCTGCCCGCTCTTTGACTAACTCCCACCACCAACCAAGACACAGGAAGCTTCAGGTCCTTCGCCAGCCTGGCCTTGGGATGTCCCCAAGCACACTGTCGCGGATGTACTTTGACGATGATTTTGGAGGGCCTGGCAGGAGTCAGGCTGATGCTGGGAGGACAGGGTGGCCCCTTGGCCCCCATCTGGGCTTTGGATCCTCAGGCGGCCCAGAGGCTGCAGCCTTCAGTCCTGCGACCTGGTCACTGATTCAGCGCACACTTACTGGGGGCCTACCAGGGGCCGGCGTGCAGGTCTTGGTCGTGGGGACACCGTGGGCAGCAAAACGAAGTTCTGACCCTCAGGGAGCCGCCCGGAGTGGCCTCAGTCAACAGCTGAGTGGCAGGAGGTGGGGGTGGGGGAGGCAGGTCAGGGCCCAGCAGAGGCAACAACAGAGGGTCCCCCTCCTTGGCCTGTCACTCAAGACCTCTGGGATCTGGCTCCGGCTTCCCTTTCTGCCCTGTCACCAGCTGTGCGTGTGCAGGCCTCTGGGCCCTTTATCCCCAGGGGCCTCAGGCTCCCAGAGAAGGTGAACCTGGGGCGGGCAGTGCAGGAGCCTGCGCCCAGCGAGGGGCACGGAAGCCCCAGGTGCGGACCTGCCCGGGAACACACTCGTGGGACTCCCACGTGCGGCAG